CATTTAAAGATGGAAAGTAACAAATCCCTTGATCCCTTCAGCACATATGTTGATAAATAGCAACCAACTGTTGATCTCTTGAAACACAGTCCACTATCTCCTAAACACATATCAGGAAACCACTGTGTGAAAGTCAGTGTTTTTTAGCAGATAGGGGGCTAGGAAAATTCAGCTGCAAAGAAGTAAAGAGGCCAACTCTGCGCGGTATTTTTGTTGGAGCAAAGCACATAACCAGCACTGAGTAGATAAGAGGCCTAATCGGCTTTAGATTAGCATGAGCCCCTCAGCCAGGTGAGCTGCTGCTGGACTCACGTCACGGAGTCAGGGACACACAGACAGAGATAAAAAGAGTAATAGGTTAAGTGCAATGAAAAGGTAGGCCAAGCAGCTAAAAAAATGATGGTTTGAGTAACATATGGAATTAATGAATAGATTTGAAAAACGTAGAAACAGTGGTGGAAAAATTAGATCCTTTAATTGAGTGAACCACAATGTAATGGTACACCATTAAATCAAAAGTCCTGCATTCAAAAAGTGAAAGTACAGAGTAAAGTCTTCTCTGCCAAACATATACAGTATATACAAATAAATAAAGATAAGGTATACATATAAAATAAGTTCTAATTTTGCTGCAGCGTATAACTATGGATAATATTAAGGGATCCTATTTCTGGTGCTTTAACTTTTTAACAGTATTTAAATGGAGTTTATGACATAGAGCTAAGTGTGACTGTTTCATATAAGAGTATTTTTATAAATATCAGTCGTTTGATCTGTAACATGCATCGTATTTGAAATGCTCCTATTTTTGTGTATAGTTTTTTTGGAAGTAACTAGCAAAAAGTACACAATTTACTTCCAAATTGTGATAAACTATAGTACTTGAGTACATTTACCAATAAAGATATTAGAACAGTTTTAATCAGTGGTGGAAGAAATATTAAAATATTCCCTTAAATAAAATTCAACGAGAAATATTAGCAAAAATACCTGAAGTACAACAAGTAAAGAAGCCTACTAATTTTACAGAATTATTTCAGAAAATATAATATTAGTAGATTACAAATGTACTGAGTTACTTATCCCCACTGGTTTAAATTCTTCTGTATGCAGCAAACAACCCATTATTGTCCCGACAACAAATGTCATGAAACCGCCTGCTATCAGAGCAACTTCTGTTTGACAGTAAATTGTAAATTTAAGATACATAATTTACCAAATTGCATCCGATGTTGTTTCCAAACAATTATTTTTCATAAGAAGACTGAAGCTTCTCCCACATAGCCCACATCTGTCAACTATCCTGAAAGGAACAGGCTGCAAAAACATCCTGTGTGTCTATTGTCTTCTGCTGCTCTCTGTTGGTGACTGCAGGTAATAAAAATAAAAATACACTGGGTGTGAATCTAATCCATTGAAGATCTCCGACTCCAGCAATAATATAAAATGTAGTTAGCTTCAGTTGAAACTCTTTTGTGATCAACTGTTCTTGCAGCAACCTTTACTCCCAGCCTCTCTTCAAATGTAGATTATTTGACTCCAAATGTATTCTGAACTTTCCCTGCGTCATTGACAAATTGCTGGCATGCATCGACACTTTAGGCCTGTACAAGGTTTCAGTTACATTAGAAGTCCACAGGAGGGTGTCTTTTCATCAGTGATGGTATAACAGGGATGATCACCCCACTGCTGAAAATACTTTAAGATGAAGAGTATGTAATACTTAATACGTAATAAATATTAAGATGAAACACAAAAGACAGAATTGTAATGAAGTCTATTTATAAGTAGTATGTCATCACTTTAATAAGATCCCTTTTATTGACACTAATGATCAAAGCACATCTTCCAGCAACTGAAAACTACATTTAGACAGGATATAAATATTAGTTTAATATTTGATTGATGTGTTGATTCTTTTTTTGATTATTGGATTAAGTGTTTAGCATAAAAATGTGAGACGGAGTGAAAAAATGACATTTATTTCCAGATATCATTAGTTGTATTCAACAAACAGACCAAAACATGTCCATGCAATGAAGACTCTGAAATATCAGTAGTATCGATTACGTTTTTAGGGGTTTTCTTTTTCCTGTAGTGTGTTTTATAGGTTTTTGTGCATGTAAATGGTCTGAAAAGGCTAAAATCCCAAAGTTCATGCCAGAGAGAGTTTCTTTCCCACACACTTACCCCCTGCCTGAAACGCCTCCATTATAGTCCTTTGAAAAGTGACATCACTCTAACACTTGCGCTTCTATTGGCTAGCACTCCAACACATATGCTAAGGGCCGGGACATCTCTAAGCAGTTGACCAATCACAACGGAGCCGGCCAGCTAACCAATCAGAGCAGACTGGGCTCTGGTTTCAGACAGAGGGTGAAAAGAGGTGCTGCAGCACAGGCAGTATGAGAAAAATAAAGACCTTTCTGAACATTAAAACATGGAAAGATGTAATAGTAGAGGCACAAAATACATATGAACCTGAAAAAGCTCAGAATAGGGCCCCTTTAAACATTATCAAATTAATTGTCAATAAATGGTTTCAGATTTTATTTATGGAATTTATGATTAAAGAAATGAATGGCCTACATTAAATCATATGTGACTGTTTTGCATCTAGAATGCGACTAATAGATGAATGTAAAATGTGTAAAATATAATAAAATAAAAGGTAGGCTTTCAACCTTTAGCCTATAGGAGTAGAAACTATACAAGAACAAGCTTTACAAGACCCGAAAAAAGTTATGAATGTTTTAGAGTGATAAGGAAGTAATGTGTTTGGAGTTATACATGCTCTGATAACTGTGGTAACGGGTTGACCTTGACATTTGAGCCAAAGGTCAGGGACAGTGCTATCACATCCCTCTACACTTCACTACAAGCTGAATAAATATGGCAGACAGAAAGAAAAGCAGAGGCAGAAAGTGAGAGAGAGGCCCGTGACTGGTAGATGTGTGGCCTGCTCAGAGGGGCATTGTTGGAGCTATGAGAGGACAATGCACTGCCCCCGCCCTGAATACTCGCCATACCAGCTGATCAGCCATTACCAAAGCTGCTGCTGCCCCGTTACAATTCCTGCTGCTTTCACACACACACACACACACACACACACACACACACACACACACACACACACACACACACACACACACACACACACACACACACACACACACACACACACACACACACACACACACACACACACACACACACACACACACACACAATCAAACACACTTTGCATCCCACTCTGCCTCAATCATAAGTTTAGTCTTACAAGGCAAAATCATACACTGTGTATAACAGAGAGAAACCAAGTGGGAGGCCATGCAGCGCCGGACAAAAGGCTTAAGTCAAGGCATGCATGGGCACACATGTTGTCTCGCCACTGTGTGTGTGTGTGTGTGTGTGTGTGTGTGTGTGTGTGTGTGTGTGTGTGTGTGTGTGTGTGTGTGTGTGTGTGTGTGTGTGTGTGTGTGTGTGTGTGTGTGTGTGTGTGTGTGTGTGAGTGAGTGCACATGTGTGTGATTTACAGCACGTTAAGTTTAGCCACTAGCACCTATCTGTTCCCACTTTAGCAATAACGTTTCTCTTCCAGCCACCCAGAGAGGACCAACGCACACATCACACCTGCTTATTATTTCAGGATCCCTGACAAAAGCCCTGAAAGTGGAAGGGTGTGTGAACAAGAGAGGGGGGGGTGTAGTAGACAGGGTTAGAAGAAGTATTAAGATAATTTAACTGGTAAAATAGCCACATCACAGTGTACAAAATACTTAATCACAGGTCCTTTATAATAAAAGGGCAGCAGGAGTATCAGCATGATTAAAGGGTGATTGTTAGTGATACATGTAAACAGTACTTAACAGAGTTCTTGTTGGAGCTGATTTTAACTGGTCCAAATACTGTTTGTTTAATCTACAGAAACAAATACTTGATTAGTCAATAAACAGAAAAATGAAGCAGCAACAATATAGATAAACCATACTGTAGTCAAACTCAACATGTGTTGCCTAGTTTCTGTCAAATAAATGCATAGTAAGATGATGATGGAATCTGAAATGTATGTGGAGGAAGTGGAAGTGGAAGTTGCACAAACTGGAAATACTCAAGTTCAGTCCTCTTACCTTCAGAGGTCAGATACTCGGTTACAAGTTAAAGTCCTGCATTCAAAATGTTACTCAAGTAAAAGTACAAAAGTATTGGCATCAAAGTATACTTAAAGTATCAAAAGTAAAAGTACTCATTGAAAAGTTGGCCCATTTCAGAATAATATATTATGTTTTGATTATAATTATTGATGCATTCATGTGTTTATCAAAGCTGGTAAAGGTGCAGCTAGTCTTAATGACTAAATTCTGATTTAAGAGTTGATTATATTTCACATCATTAATCCAAAAGTAACCGAAGGTATTAAATAAAGTAGTGGAGTAAAAGTACACGATTTACTGATATTGAAACAATATTTAATAACGTAGCATTATAAGATTAAGTACAGTAGTTTAGTAAATGTACTTAGTTACTTTACACCTCTGATTGCCTTAAAATCAACTTTGGAGAATATCTTATAACATTTTAGTCTTGCTAAATTGTTGTCTCTTTTGTCTGGGCTGTTTGGATAGTATGAAAAGGTGCTTCAATTAAAGTTGCTTTGCAGAATGCATTATGCATTTTTGGTGCTTTAAGTATGTTGATGGTAATATGTATATGTTTAAAGAAGTAGGACTTTGAATTCAAAACTTATAACAGAGATTTTCTACACTATAACTACTTCCACCACTGCTCAAATGTCTTCAATGCAGTTCTTGAGGGCACCTGGACACACACACCCATTTCCAAGGACAAATGATGGACAGTAACAGGTGTACATACCTTTATAGTATATGGTACATACCTAGAGCTGTTATATTGTTATTCTGTGGGCGTAGGGTGTGTGAGAGAGGCAGGGGCTCTGAGGGGACGCGCCTCCTCCCCTGTGATAGCGGAGACGCGCCGCGCGCTCCTGACAACCCACTCGTGCTGCTGCTATACTGTACTGTAATCATATGATAGGGAGTCGATCCCCGCTGCAGAATACCGACACACACCGGGCGGACACCAGCAGAGCAGCCGGGGCGGAGGACACCACACGAGAGCAGGTTTTTATTTTTAAGAAGTGCGTGGAGTCTGTTAGCGTGTCGCCACAAGTGTCAAAAAAGAGCCAAACTCCCCCTACAAAAAGGAACTTTTTCAAACTCTGGACAGAGAGTCGGCACTGGGGGGAAGAAGAGAGGGCATACAGAAGAAACGTTATCCGAAGGACACTCTTTTTCACCGGGACTGATATTTGAGTTTACTCCGCTATCAGAGCGGCGGTCAGCGGGTCGCGGCCGGTGGAAACCCCTGGGGTATTCGCATCGCTTGTCAGGGCGTGTGCGTTGTTTTTAGAAAATATCCACCACAAGTTTTTCATTTAGACACTTTATTGTAGAAGCTAAAGCCATGGTTGGGGAAACAGAGGTGAAGGAGAGACCCAAGTCCAACCCGGACTACCTAATGCAGCTGATGAACGACAGGAAGGTGATGAGCTCCCTGCCCAACTTCAGCGGCATCTTCTCGCATCTGGAGCGGCTACTGGATGAAGGTAACTCGGTTTCTTTTCAGGGAGTTAAACCCCGTTTATTGGAGACTCTAACCACTTGTCACACTACAGAGACAATTACCCTTTTTCTTGACTAATTTGATGGTCAGTGTCATAAAACTGACATTATTGACTCACTTTATTGAAAAGTCATTAACTGCCCGAATTCCTCTCTGGCTCCTAGGAAACAAATGTCATCTCCATCACACCCTGAATGATGCGGACGATAAATTATGAAACTCTTTCATTGTACTTGTTGCTTTTCACTGAATTCACTTACAGAGATGAGGTAGTAAATACAACTTAAAAAACGAAAAGAGATGTGAACCTTAAATAGCATATTTAATGTGTTGAGAGCAGCAGATGAGCACACACACACAGACAGACAGACACACACACACACGCAGACAGACACACACACACGGGCAGTTGGTGATGGGAACAAACAGACAGTTGTTAGTCTTTCCCAGTGACCTAATGCGCAGGCTTATGTGAATGCTGCAGCCCATCCCTGAGCAGGAACGAGAGCATGTCACTGTGTAAAATATTTGATTTGAGGCTGCTCTACATGCTGCATGTGCAATTAATCAATGCCTTTCACTTGTTGATGTCTAACCGTTTTAGTTTTTTTTGCAGTTCTGAAATAACACAATCTCACGGCATTGCAACAGTTGCTTTCAAAGTGAGGTCTTATTTGCCAAACGTCCCCTTTTTAGAATGTCAAGGCCTGTTGTTGTTACTGTTGTTTCACATCAGGATCACCAAGATCCTGACTTTGTGCGCTTTGACAAGTCATATGACGCAGCAAGGTTGATCTCATACCAGACGACCTCTGCAGCCTGACAAATAGGTCAGGTTAACATCTCCAGTCGTGTACATGTTGACGACTGACAGCCGGGCACATTCATCCCTCACCCTTAATAATGTGACACCCTCAGTTAGAATGAACGGCATTGTGCCATGCTCATTTTCAGCCTGGCTTTGTCTTCTGCCTGAGTAATGCGGACAAGGGCATTGTACCAAAAAAGTTTTGCAGGGTAACAAGAAAGCCTGTCAGTCAAACATCTTGACCGGCTGCATGTTTGTGGCATATTTGGAAACACAGTGTGGTGGAGTCCGATCTAAATATAAACCATTGACAAGTTGAAGTGTTGAGATAAGGCCTGCTACAGTCCCCCCCCCCCACCACCACCCTTTATCTCTCTCTCCTTCCTCCACTCTCTTGTTCTTCTTTCACTTCTCATTTTCCTCAATGCTCTAACTGAAGTGTGACAAAAGCCTGCTTGCCTGTGCAGATTTGTTTGTGTGTGTCTGTGTGTGTGTGTGTGTGAATTTTAATTGTCACTCTTAGTCTGTAACAGGTCAGAAGAGGTTATTAGAGGATCATCATTGTCCCTGTAGCTGTGGCTGTAATTATAGCATCCTACTGTAGTTATTATGGTCAGACTTATCAGAGCAGGGAGACATGCCTGTCAGCCTGCTTAGGTCAGATGATATTTGTGCCTCGAGGCAGATATTCTGTCGTGTGTGTGTTGGTGTGAGTTCAAGCCGGGGGTCTGTTGGTATGTGTTGCGTATGTGTTTGTGTAGCGCAGTAGTCAGTTATTATTGTGCCAGCGTGTCATTACAAAGGCATCAGAGGCTAACATAGGTCATTGAGACAACACTAAACAAGCAGACAGCCAGACAAACATAGTCTCATTTATTTAGGATGGAGTTTCCGCACCAAACCTAAGGCAAGATTTGGACCATTTAGGTACATTTTAAGAAAAAATTGCTACAATTCCAACAATTGCCAACATTTTTTGCGATTATTTGTAACTAAATTAATATCTTTGAGTTTTAGACTTAGTCGGTCTGAAAAACACATATGAAGACTCCTAGGAATATTTATTCCAATTATGAAATAATAGCCGATAAATATATTTCTGTTTATAATAGAAAAATTGCTTTCCTAGACAAAAAAAGGTCAATATCAACACACTCAGATACAGTAGGTGGCGAAGAAAAACAAGCGCAGCACGACAAGACATGTCACAATTTGAAATACACGTTTTTTAATGTATATTTTTACATTTGTCCATAAACTCCAGGATATTAGCTTCTTTTAAAAGAAAATAAAGTCAAATGATCTTATCTGTATCGGCCATGAGAAGCAGCTGATATTGGTATCAGGTAAAGAAAAAAACACATCAGGAATCTTCGTTTTTACTGTTGCCTTTTTAAGAGCATATGATTTATCGAGGAGTCTGAAATGTTTTGAAAAATAATCACTAGTTGCAGCCTTACTGCTTTGTAAAAATATTGATGGCGGTCTATATTGATGTTGTAACACTGTCTTCTACAATAAACACTAAAGGGTCGAGTAGGTCAATGTGACCATGCTGACATGTCTGTTTTTTTGAAAGGGTAAAATGTGTGTGTGTGTGTGTGTGTGTGTGTGTGTGTGTTGGACACAGTTGGAAATAGAAATGGAAATAAAGAAATTGTCTGTAATAGAAGAGGCCTGGTTGCAGAGCATTAGGTGGTTAGATTCTACATTCTGGTAACTGTCTGTCTGTCTGTCTGTCTGTCTGTCTGTCTGTCTGTCTGTCTGTCTGTCTGTCTGTCTGTCTGTCTGTCTGTCTGTCTGTCTGTCTGTCTGTCTGTCTGTCTGTTCCACTCAGAGCTTCCTGTAATTCTGGTGACAGTGAGTCATCGTCCTAGTAAAGGACGGTCTGAGGAAACGTGACACTTATGGTTGCTCATTTACACTCAGTTTAATTTTCCTCCCTCTTTCTGTCTTCCAGAGATCGGCAGGGTACGCAAGGACATGTACAACGACACAGTGAACGGTGGCATGTTCAACGGGCGGGACATGGAGGAGCTTCCCGAAGCTGTCGGCCCCGTGGCTCAGCTCCAGGAGAAGCTCTACGTGCCTGTCAAAGAGTACCCAGACGTGAGTGGATAAATACGTGACCTTTGACCTTTGACAAGAGTTTCTGTTTACTTTATCAGGTCATTTTATCTCCTCTTAGTGACAGAAAGGGCTGCTAAATAGTTACTGAGGCTTTTAATCACAGCTTTTCATTTAATCTTAAAGCTGATTTCATTCTGAGATCATCTCTGCTCACACCCGATGATGTAATCGACACTTCCAATAAATCAATAATGAACCCAGGCCAGTGTTTCCGAAAAGATAAAATTGAATATATCACATTGTGTTTCAGTCAATATTCCCAATGACAACATTTCATTGAACACCATATATATTCATGAGAGCTTAGGTGGACTAAATATTTCCCCAAAATATAAAGACAATTGCACCGCAGTGAAGAAACGAGTACGTATCAGCGCCCGCCAAGCACAGTAAAGCGCTCTAATGTAAGTTATGTTGATCCAGATTGAAATGGCTCACATGATATTCTCCGCGCATCAGCTAGCCAATCACTGAATACAATGACAGGCTGTCCTCACTCACATGACAGGAGGTTAACAGGACACACACACTGCAAAATGGTTGAGATCAAGGTTACATTTAGAGAGCAGTTCCTCTTTCTGGATTTGTGTGAGTGTGTCGAGGGTTATAGTAGAGCAAATGTGTTGCAACTAAAGTGAACATTAGTTTAAGCTTGGTCGAAGAGGCTAGACAAATGGTTTGAGAGACAAATGTGAGTGACAGGGGAATGAAACACACACACACACACACACACACACAGAGGGACAGCTGTCTAGTTAATCACTCAGTCTTAGTGACAGATAAGGTTAAGAGAACGGCGCTGTCCTGTTATGCCACCAGCACCAGCCAGCACCCAAATAATAATCTATTTTCGTCTCTGTTCGCAACACATCACAGATGCACAAACATTCACTTGCAGCACATGCAGACACACACACATTGTGAATAGACAGTCTTTGATGTATGTGTGTGTGTGTCTGTCTTCCTCCAGGCCTTTCTCTTTGATTATCAATGAGACTGTTTTTGCTCTTTTTTGTAGTTTAACTTTGTAGGGAGGATCCTGGGCCCACGTGGACTGACGGCAAAACAACTGGAAGCAGAGACCGGCTGCAAGATAATGGTGCGAGGCAAGGGCTCCATGAGAGACAAGAAGAAGGTATGCACAGTGAGAAACACACACAAACACACAATATAAATGCTTTCATGGTCAGTTTCACTTGAGTAGCTCTGTACGTATAGATGTTATCATGTTCGCATCACCTTTACTTAAAGGTTACTTAATAGTTTGAAAGTCTTGTTTTCTGGTCAGGCAGAAGAGAAAATACAAAGCCCTCGCGTGTCTGTACACTAAATATGAAGCTACATTCAAGAGACCTTAGCTTAGACTCAAAATGGGGGGATGCTTGACTCTGTCCAAAAGTAAAAACAGTATTCTCTTCTCTCCAACCAAAGACTCCAGATGATAGAGTTGCATTGATTAGTTAACTAAACTAATGTAGAATTTGTTAACTAATCAATAAGTTTATCTATTGACAAATGATCTCCAACTCTTTTGATAGTCTCACAATGCTGTATACAGCCACTTCAATATAGAAGTCTCTGGAATTTGACTCATTTAACTGAACATCTTTTGGACTAACAAAACAAGCAGCCAAGGGGTCGCTGGAAACAGGCTTAGAAATACCATTACCCAGTGAAACCATAATGTGCCATATTTACACAGCACTTTTTGTATGGGTATAATACTGAGATATAATGTGTTAAATTAGTGTGCATTAGGAAGCTTGAGAAGTTCTGCTTAGCATTTAGCTTCAGATAGAGCCAGGCGAGCTGTTTTGCCCAGTTTCCAGTCCTTATGCAAAGCTAAGCTAACTGGCTTTGGGTTGATTCTACAGATATGAGAGTGGTATCATGTCTTCTTACTCTCTGCAAGAGACCCCAAAACATTGGCAGCAGTTGGTTCCAATTCACTTTAGCAACGTTTTAAAAGTCAACCTTCAGAAACATTTGGTTAAGACAGGGATGCCGTCCAGATGCACTTAATGTGTACTGCCATTACTGTCAAAGGAACAATGTTGACATGCTTCAAATTGATTTCATTTTAGTAATGCAATACCACTCAGCAACAACAAAACAATAAAGATGGGTACATGGTGTTCAGATGCATTTAAGAGGAGCAGCTTTGACCTGGAAGGAAGTCAATAGCAGGCTGCAGACTGAGAAAAATACAAGGATCTATCTATCTATCTATCTATCTATCTATCTATCTATCTATCTATCTATCTATCTATCTATCTCTTCCTCCTCTCCCTTCTCTCCCTTCTCTCCCTTCTCTCCCTTCTCTCTCAGAATGAGTTTTTGGTTGTCAGTTTTTCTGTCCTGGTGTTCGGTCCATCTGTTCCCTCTTCCTCTCCCCTGGTGTCTGCTGTTGGACGGAGTCGGCTCAAGCTTTCCAAACGGCAGGTGGAGCAAGTCCAGCATTCCTCCCCGTTCTCTCTCTCTCTCTCTCTCTCTCTCTCTCTCTCTCTCTCTCTCTCTCTCTCTCTCTCTCTCTCTCTCTCTCTCTCTCTCTCTCTCTCTCTCTCTCTCTCTGAGGGGCGTGAGAGGTAGGGAATGTTCTGGAGAGAGAGAGAGAGAGAGAGAGAGAGAGAGAGAGAGAGAGAGAGAGAGAGAGAGAGAGAGAGAGAGAGAGAGAAGAGAGAGAGAGACACACAGAGACAGAGAGGAAGGAAAACAGAGACACAGTGGGAGGCAGTGGGGGAGATGAGAGGAAGATGTTGACTTTTGGTGTTTTTCAGAATGATACATCTCACTTGACAAAACATAGCCGATAGGATGTCCCAGCATGCCTTACTGAATACACAGAGCACTTCATAATTTCAGTTTGAACTAGGGATGAAACAAACCGTTATTCTCATTAGATATGTTTAAATAACTGATTGTTCCCGCTCTGAAATGTAAAGTTGTACTTAAAGGGGACTTGTCCCGTAAAATGTGTACTTTTTTAGCTGAGAGTTAGATGCGAAGATTGATATTACCCTCATATCTGTCTGTTGAATATGAAGCTACAGCTGGGAGGAGGAGGTTAGCTTAGCATCAAGACTGGAAACAAGAGGAAACAGCTGGTCTGGCTTTGAAGTCACTGCGTTCAGCCAAGAAATAGGTCCAACACATAAAGTTCCGGTAATGTTTAAATAAAAGTAGTTTGTAAGACGGGTTGCCTAACATATTGGAGACAAAAAGTGATCAAAGTTGTTTGGACACACACATTGAGAGGGGGGTTGGATATTGTTTAAATACGCACTACTCAACAGTATGGAAGTCTTCATAGTGTTGCACTAAGTTGTTCACATGAAAAGTGAGAAGAAGAGCTAAAGATTCGTGTGCAGTCTCACTCTTTCACCTCTGCACAGCTGGACGATCACGGCATGGAGTTCAGTGTGAATGTTGGAATTTCAGAAAGTTACTCTCCAATCTGATGTTGGAAAGCCGTGGGGGGAATTGGTTTCTGAAGCTTTTCATCCATCCAATAACCACTTTCAAAGAAGCATAATGGAAGCTTAACCACCCATGAAACCACAAGTTTTCATTTTAATTTAGTTTTATTTTTAAAAGATAAAGAAATCAAGATTCAATTTACTGATTTGGTGAGCTTTAGAGTTGGACTCTAGTAAGCATTTCACTGAGCGAGGCTAGATGTATTCCAGACTTGGCTAAGCTAATGTAACAGCATCTGGACTGTAGCTTCAGATTGAACAGATCACATTGTCATATTGATTTTTCCTATTTAACTCCTAGCAAGAAAGCAAATAAGCATATTTCCCAAAATATAAAACGTGTCTTTTTAGCACATCAGTGCTTTAAGCAAGTATTTTACATGATTAAAACTTAGCGACCTAGCATGCAAACATTTGGATTTAGCACTTATTACAAAGAACTGAGGTCGCCATCAGTTTTGAATGTATTTCATGATGAAAGTAGTGGGCAAAGTCTGTCTGTACAAGATATTCAGACATAAATATCTGAGCCAGTTGTAAATTATAAAAAAAGCTTCTCTAACAAGTTCCCAGAGCCAAATACACTTTCTTAAATTGCTTAATTTGATGAACATGGAATAAAATACAGATTTTTAATTGTATTTGGAAAGGAAAGCTATCCAAAACAGACATTTACAAATCTAACCATGTTCACCTGTTTTGTTCTATTAACTAAAGGGAAGGAGACCAACAAATACAACCAACAACAGGGACATTATTATTATTTTTGACTTAATAAACTACTATAATCATAGATGCTGTGGTCAAAATCTGAATTTCAATTAGTAGACTATTAGGCATTAGTTTGGATAAAGTGTCAGTGAGAAAAAAGGGAGTGAATAGATAAGGAAATAGCTAAGCAGAGTGTGATTTGGGGAGTGCCTCCTTTAATAAAATGCAACGTTAAACTTGAAATCAGTGAAAAGCAACGAGTTACACAACCTTGAGCCTAGTGTGTAGTCTGAGGCCATCCAGAAGATCAAGCCAAACTAGAAGAAAAAGTGAAATCCTGTCCTCTCACTGTGCCAGTCATGAGCTTGTGTGGTGCATTCAAACGGAGCTTTAAAAATGCTTTTTGTGTTTCAGGAGGAGATGAACCGAGGGAAGCCCAACTGGGAGCACCTCAGCGAAGATCTCCACGTCCTGATCACAGTGGAGGACACACACAACCGGGCCAAGATCAAACTCCAGCGGGCTATCAACGAGGTCAAGAAACTTCTCGTGCCAGCTGTGAGTATCAGTGCGAACCCCTTCAGTGTCCCATATTATGTTCTGGACCGATGGAAAAGCTGCGTGTGACTAGATGAGAGTTCACTGTGTTGGTATGCATGGAAGGGGGAAGGGGATTGTCAGTCCAAAAACTGTGTGTGTTTGTGTCTTTTTTTTGTGTTTTTGTGTGTGTCTCTGTGTGTATGAGAGAGTATGTGTAAGGGGTTAGGGTAATTAGGGAACACGCATAAAGGGGTTTCCATAGTAACCCCGGGTTGTTTGAAAGGCTGCGGGAATGAATGGAGAGTCTGTTCACTTGTTCTCCCCACTCCATCACTCCTTTCACTCGTTCACAACTCACTTCATTCCCAACTACTGGCTACAGTATTCCTTTTTCTCCCTGTTTTTTTGTCATCCACACAAAAGGATATTTTGATTGCACTCCTCAACATTTCTCACATTCTACAGCCCACCTACGTCCCCCCTACGGACATACATGCATGAACGTGATGACAAATAATAACGCATTGCTTACATAGATGCAGGAACTGTCTTAATTATCCCGTTAGACGCACTAGCACAAAAGCTCATATTGCGAAAATCACAAGGCACCTTCCTTTTCCCCCCCTTTGCATTATTCACGACAATAGAAACTGAATGAATAGACCGGCAGGGGGATTTCTATTATAGCAATCAGCCGTCACTTCCGCTCCGGTCACAGCACGGGGTCGGCCAACTCCAGAAGTTAAAGGATGTAAGAAATATCTGTGGGCAATCAGGAGCTGGACACCTGTTAATCTTTTTTTGTGAATGCGTGTGTGTGTGTGTGTGTGTGTGTGTGTGTGTGTGTGTGTGTGTGTGTGTGTGTGTGTGTGTGTGTGTGTGTGTGTGTGTGTGTGTGTGTGTGTGTGTGTGTTGTGTGTGTGTGTGTGTGTGTGTGTGTGTTGAGGGTATGGTTAATGTTATGTGTTAGTTTAACCCAGCCAACCTTGCTTTCCGACTGTAAATCAGTCAAGCTTTTCACCAAGCTGTAACTGGAGCTCGGAAGTTAAATATGTCCTGTGTGGTGAAGTCACTGTATTCAAGGACTGGTCAACTGCATTTCAGACAATGACATTTGTTTACATGCACACTAATGTTACACTATGGTTACGAACATGATAGATATTCATGTTGCAAACAATCCAACTGACATACGGTTGAGAAGGCTGGGGTTGATGTACATGCTACAAGAAAAACATGTGGTCGGAAGGAAAACACACTTTGAAACATTATGAAAAAGCTTTTTTTTTACAAGCTTTTTGATTTGCACAAATAAAGCATTTTGGACCTGGTTTTAGGAACAAAAGAGAGAGGCTGTGTTCCCACGGTCTAACAAATCTGCCAGAACACTTTTAAATAATTGGAGTTGTGCATATCAAAATTTGTCTGGGAATATTATGGAGATATCATTCTTTTTACTGTTTTATCATATTAGAGTAAATATATTTTGGTTTTGGGCTAAAAAATAAAACAATAAAGACATCATCTCAGAATTTGAGAAACTGTGATGGACATTTTAAATTTGTTCTGATATATCATAGCCCTAACCATGATTTGATAAAGCAAATCAACCTTGTAAACAGCCTTGTAGGAATATTGTTTTTGATTTTTCTAGGGCAAAACCTGAAATATTTTGTGCATGTTGTGTTAATATAATAGAAGGCTAGTGCAAACACAACTACGTCTTCCCCCTGACTTCATTATTTGTTCCTGCATAGTGTAACATTTGCTGACTTTTTGACTCCCACAAAAGGGAATTCATTCACTTGTCAAATGACTGAATGACTGTCCTTGCTAAGTAAGCTGATTGTGCTGTTCTGCTCTGGTGTAGGCTGAGGGGGAGGACAACCTGAAGAAAATGCAGTTGATGGAGCTGGCCATTCTCAATGGGACCTACAGAGATGCCAATGTCAAGATGTGTAAGGATGACATCATAGTAACTTGTGGAGGAGGGTTGGTGGGTCTGGGTACAGGAGTCCACTGTACATATGAACAATGCCTTTGTTTTTCCTGGTAAATAGACTGTTTGTCTTCTCCTCTTCTTCCCTGTCTATTGTTTGTGTGTGGGTGTGTGCATACTTGCATTATTGCAAATTTGTGTGCTGCACAGCCTGCGCTGGCTTCCCTATGGGGGCACCTCAGGCGCCTCGGCTCATCACAGGTCCGACGTCGTGCCTGCCTCCCTCAATGCGCAACTCCGCCCAACTCCCCACGCAGACCATGTTGCCTCTGATTCGTCAGATCCAGAGCTCCGCCCTCATGCAGGGAGCCAATCCGCACCAGGCGCTGGTGCAGCAAGGGCCTGAATCTGGAATCATCTACGCGCCCTACGACTATCCCTACACACTTACGCCATCCATATTGGAATACCCGATTGACTCAACTGGAGTTTTAGGTACTTAGAAAGAAAAAGTTCATCATTTCATATAGAATCAATGGATGTATTATGAGAACTGGATACTGGCCTTCAATGGAATTTGCTTACCAATCGCATACGTCAACAACAACAAAACTAAAACCTAGGACGCCAATTCTTCGACCGAACATCAAGCAATATTTTCATTATTGATGATGGCTAATTGTTGTTTGAGTTATTTACAGTCAGAGTTGGATAACTGAAAACATGGTATTCAACAAGCTATTTCAATTTGGTCCCGTTCTATGACAAATGCAGGCTCATTAGTAAATACTGCCCCACATCTGAGTATCTCCACTTGAGGCTTGAGAACTACCTTTGCATTTTAAAGCATGTCAATCAGAGCATCGCTAACATCAAAGCATGTAAATATGTTCTGGTAAATCCAATGTGTGAACCGGAACATGTGCATGCTATATCATGGCATCAATGCTAAAAAAGGGCACCTTCAATTCAACCCATTAACTTTGAAAGTGGGTTCTATGTGACTTACACCAACAGTGAAGAACGAGCTGTTTCATTAATGTAGATGATTTAAAGAATTTGCAAAGTTAGTTAAATATCAACCTTTTTTGAGGTTAGAGTAAGAGCCACGGAAAATATGCTCGTACGTCCCTACATGCACAAAATAGTTTCTTACTTCTGAAGTAGCCAACCTCGAGCGAAGACCAAAGTTTTAAGAATCTTGACAGCCGTGATATTTTCAGATTTTGTACCATGGTTTGCAACTGGGACAATTTGGAGGCCAAATCCAGCTCTTGTAATACATCCGGATAAAATGTATAAATGTATACTGAAGCTAATTGTTGGGCTAACAGTCCCTTCTTCCTGTGTTTTCGCAGGTATGGCTTTCCCAACCAAAGGCTAGGGCGATAGCAACCCTTCCTAGCACACTCAAGGACTGGCTTGCAGAGACCCCTCCCCCCTCCCTACATACTTGTCCCACATAGCAAACACTCAAAGTTTGCTCATACTTTAGGATGACAGACAGTCATTCTGTAGTCAAGTGTCCATTCCTGTTAATTTCCTCTTTGTATTAGCAGACTAGTGTTGTGGTTTGACAGCTATTTAACTTTTTTTAATAGTTCAGCTTCCGCTTGTAATTTTAACACATTTTAGTGAACCCATAGATATTTTAGCGCCGCTGTTTGTGATTTAATATAAGCTTATTTTAATCACAGAGCTATAAAGTGACTTTGCTTACAGCTGATGTTGAATCTACTAGTGAAGCTTAGTGAGAAATTAGTGGTTTGGATTAATATTTTCTTTAGAGAACAGAAGACCACAAAACAACAAGAATTCTGTGTCTCAGAGAAGCAAGATGTTTTCGTTCTTTTTTACTTATTTTTCGCCCTCAGCCTTGAACACTTTGTAAATTCCTGGTTTCACTGATGTTGGTGCCATGGGTGGACTGTTTGATGTCTTTCTGATGAGTAACCTTCTGTGTTCTGTTTTGGCGATGTCAATGGCTGTTAGCAGGTGCCATGACCACTAAGGTACGACGCCACGACAAGAGAATCCATCCTTACCAAAGGGTAGTGACCCCAGACAGAGGTTAGTTAGCTCACCAGCCACTTTATGTGTATGTGTGTGTGTGTGCGTGCATGCGGACCAATGGACCAATTTCAGTTTACACTTGTTTGTAGAACCGCATGCCTAAAGTAAAGAAAAAAATATCAGGCGCAAATGGTCACACGCTGAAGCAGCTTCAGTGTAAAATGTGAAACGTTTTTGTTGCAGTGAAGTGAAATAAGCGAGTAGATTTGGGAGGAACTATGTGAGGGGTGACAGCTGCGGCGTTATCTTCACTCACCCTGGTAGATAAACTGGACGGCTTGCAGGCCGGGACCCTCTCAATTATAATGGATCGCTCCGTTCATGTGACTCAGTCCTTGTGACTATGGAGTCCTCTCTCAGAATTTTTTCGTTGTTGATGTTTTTATCTCTTCGGTACTATTATTTTAAACCCTGCAAATAACTGTGGGAAGTTTTATTTATACCCAATTTCATTCCAGTAGATTGCCACAAATGTTTTTATTATTATTAATTAAATCCTGTGTTGTGCCCAATGACTATATGACACTTAAAGTAACAGTGATTGTCTTTTTTTCTGAAGGTCATCTAATTCAATATGATCTTTGGTCTTAACTACTAAAACACAGCGTGTGATAACTACTGAGGTCTGTGTTACAAGCTCTTTTGTATAAAATACTGTTGTTTGTGGTCTTATCAGTCGCCCACTGGACTTGATCATTGGGGCTGTTTACATCTTTCATATATTTCCTAGCCAGAGTGGTGCTGTTACCATGTATTTAGCTGCAAAATAAATTTGTATATAGGGATTTTAAGGATTTAAGTGCTTATATGAAGCTTATCGAACAAGATCGCTTTGGAAATAGTATTTTTCTTTTCTTTTTTTTTTTAGTTTGTATATTTTTATTTTTGTTTCTACGATATGCTTTTTATAGATGAAGTGTCTCCATGTAAACTTCAAACTTTTATTCAAGGTGTGTAGCTACTACTGTTTTAGTCACCGCGAAAGGTGGCAATGAAGGCAGTGTTTTGCTCTGTCTATTTAAGACGAGGTGACCTTCTCAATTCACAGGCCTCGTGACTGTTTTATGCAATAGAAAATGGACTAGCTAGCTACGATATATGTGTGTGTGTGTGTGTGTGAGAGCGGTGGTGCTCTTGTTGTACATGATGGACAAAAAACACTAAAAGGCAATAAAGATGACTATTGAAAAAAAAAA